ATAACAAGTGGCAGGCGTTTTGATTGTTATCATTAGCCCTTTAGTTGACTTCGGACTTCACAGAGGAGAGGAGGAACATCAAAGTGAAAAGAATTCAGGAGGGGAATAGAATTGTGTTTCAAAGATGTGAAAGAAACAGACACAAATGCTCAGAAAGTGTAAGATGAGTAATGGTAGGGGTCGAATATGACATACAGTGGGGGTGATGGTTGTTTGAAGTGAGAAGTCAACTGTCGATTAATAGAATTTTTGCCGCATGAGTATACGTTGCCCAGGGTGCACCACGTGGAGGTAAGTCTATCGCACACCCCATTTTATCTAATATAGAATGCAACAACAATACGGAAAAATAGAATTTGATATTGTTTAAACGTACATGAACCCTTTTTTGTGTATCTTATTTTGAATTCGAGTTGAAGATTTTTGGGCCTTGAATATTTCCTGCACTATTATTTGCTGGATTTTATTGTAAGTAAAAATATGGCTTTTATTAAACAATTGAGAGCCTTCCAGTTTTAGTAAATCATACTTAACATCATAAATAAAATGGATATCTTACTAGTGACATGGGGTGAAATTAGAACTCTAAAGGGCTCAGTATAATCGTTTAGTATACTTTTCCCATAACTCGATGCAAACAAAAAGACTCATTAATTCTGGAAGTCCCCCAAACGTTTTGTTCTCTTGGAGGTGTCATCAAGGGGGAAGTCACGTTTCATTCCCCTGTTTGCTTAGTAGTCAACCATCACCCTTCCTCTTTTAATGTCCATTATGTCATAACCGAACCTCAGTTTTCCAAGCGGCCATTAAGATCAAATTTTTGATCATCGCCTTTTACTTCTTTTAATCGTAAGCACATTAATGTGATGACAATGTGATATTATTTGAATAGTAGATTACTGGCTTTATAAGTGAATGCTTGCACGAAACGGTTCATTAAGATACGGTCTCTTCTATAATGCGTTAATTATATGTTAAGTAGGTAATATGATTGTACCATATTTGGTGTGTTTAGAGAGACAGCATTCCACCACCACCACTCACTCTTTGTTAGCTGGACAGCTCCCACAACTCAGCCTCATATGGAGCTCCAGGTTGCTCTCCTCCCATTACAGGCTCACCGACATCTCGCCCAACAAGCTTGCAAACCCTTCTTTTCATCCGTAGGTCACCCTCCCCTTGAGCAGTCGAAACGACGATGGCACACTCAGTTCTGAAAACTTGGTGTACCCCCTAACCGACGGTTTGCGAGTACCCCAGATTGGTCCTATGACTCCCCCCCACGTGTGTAACCCTATCATATTTAATGTCGCCTAAAATTTGACTGTCCTATATCCGCAACCCAATACCCCTTCTCCATTCGTCTTTGTTAAGCGCTAGATACGGGTACTAAGGGGGGGGGGCACATTTTCGGATATTTAGGCCAGCTTAACCACAAATGTTGTTTAAATAGCAGATTCTCAATTTGACCTGCCGTGTTAGAGTAAATGCGAGGCTCTTCCTTGATAAGTAAGTAGGCTGGTGTAAAACTAACCACAATGAAGCCTATAAGTAAACAAAACCGACTTATAACTTTAAATTAGCTGGCTCTTAGTTCTAAAGTATCCAATGGTAGAATGCAAAATATTAAGCATAATTATTGCATTTCGAATCTGGACACATCACTTTATGTCATTCGTCTCCAGAAGGGACGTGGTTACGAGTCCTAATGGAGTTAGAGTATTGACTCAAAATCTTCTTACATGAAGTATTCTCTCTAATGATAGAAAGCACAATCCATGGCCTATAGACACAACGAAGGAGAGTCTTGAAATTGTTACGTCTTCTTCGCAGTACTTGAATCAAATTCTCTCGCGCCAGGGATAGAAGTGGTGTGTCTTTGAATATCATTGCCAGTCGACACAGGACTATTTCTAACATGAAATGAAAACCATATTTTATCAATGAAATGCGAAATCTGTTTCCATTTACAAATTATTTTAATGTACTCACTTGCTAAATATCTACAGTGTTTAAACGAGGTCAAAAACTTTTGACGTTCAGGGCAGGACCATATGTAGGTTAACAAAATATATCCGAATTGTGAACCGATACGTCGAGCATTCTCTTCTGCCAATGAAGAATTTGACTTGAAATCGGCTTGCTTGATCACTAATTTGATAAGCAATGAGGTTTGAAGAAAGGATTTAATCCGGAAAAGACACTTCTTCCATGACAACGGATAGCCACCAAAGCGCTCAAATACTAGTTTATCTATCAATTGAAAATTTCCGATATAAAATTTGATAGTAAAGTCAAATTTTCAGTTTAGGCATAAACAAATGACCGAATAAATGGATTCTGTTCAAAGTGAGAAGTGAAATTAGATTTAAAAACACAGCACACAATGACATTCAAAGAAAAGCACTCGGGCTCCCTTACCCGTAGTTACTTTAGGGAAAAGAAGATTTAGCCGAGGGGTAATTTCCAGTCCTAACCATTCGACATATTCGAGACCCACTAAGAGAGAAAAAGGAGGTTTTAATCCTATTAAACCACGTTTAAATAGAGCTTAGTCAAACAAAAAGAGCAAATTTTTTATATGTAAACGCGGGGTTTTGAAAAGACGGGAATAGACAAACAATCTGGCTAATGCAGGATTTGAGTTCTGCTAGATGTGCGGTTGTGGGGTGCACAATGCTGCCAAGGCTGAGCAGGGCTATCTCATGTGCACTTAAACAGAGTGGAAGGTGCGGTCGTGAACGCAAAGACCTCTCAACCAGCCAACAATCAATAGCTGACACAATGTGACAGTGGCTCCATGCCCCCTAACCCCTCAATATCGTTGACGTAGCTCAGCTAATTTTATACTAACGGGATTTCGTCAGAGAAGATTTCTGGAATTTAGTGGTGGGTGAGTAGTGTAATTCGCCTGCATATAAATGGGCTTGGAAATGAGTACACAACACTTAGACGAGAAATACTTGAATTCAACAAAAGTAAACTCTTACCGCCATCAGTAACGATATTCTCCTTTGAAGTATTTGATTTGAGGCCAAAACTATTTAGGTCTAAACAGTAGGAATTAGTATGGAAATCACCTTACTATCAATTAAACCGCTCCTGATATCTAACAATCTCTCTTTCGATGTCGCTACAAGTAGATAGTCGTCATGAAACCGCAAGATTGCAGCCTCGGGAGCGTTCGTGTTTGATGACGTTCGCTTTTCTGCATCCCAAAAGTAGCCTGCGAGTGAACTTCTGCGATCGATAAAGGCGAGGAAGAGGTTCGACAAATCGGTAGAAATACACGAACCTTGTGGAATGCCCTTGGTTTGTTGGTAGCAACGTCCACCAAGCTGGGAATTTGAAACAAAAGATAAAAAACAACAATTCATTTGATGAAATACGCTAGAACGACTGTTGATACATGGGGAGAGGGACACTGAATTTCCTTAAAATACAAACAGTTCTCATACCCGGATGAAGTAGTTATTAAGGAAATAGGAGAGCTCGGAGATGAGATGTTGCCTTGAGAACGATGCCCTTGAGAAGTGCTCTGCCTAAAATGAAAAAATGACAATCGTATCATATCTCGTAAGACAATGATGACGGCGTAGATTCTAGAGAATCATGAAAATTGCGACATTGACAATTGGATTAGAATTAGTAGTGGAGACTAGAAAGCCTGCTAAAGATGCAGGCATAGGACAAACATGTAGTTGTAGGAAGTGGGTCGGAGAGGGGTAGAACAAGTTAGCTAAGACATAGTGGATCAGGCCGGGGAGGAGGAAAATTAAGTCAGGATCAATTCGTTGATTTTAAGGAAACTAGGGACTAAGACACAAACCAGCTACTACAATGCAGTTAAATTCGATCCTTTATGTTAATACAACTTGATCCTATCATACCCTCAAAAACTTCAACTCAAACCCCCTAGATTAGTTGCCTGTCTATACCATTTTCCCACTGTACCCCTAAAAGCCTACGTTAATACATAGATGCTGCAATTAGAAACATGTTCCCATAATCCAAATAACTTATACCTGATTAGAAAAACATTCTTTGGCCTAAATCGGCTTTGTTCTTAACTGTAAACTAATAATTACCCTTGTACGAGTGACTACCAGGTTAATGAGACATGCTTTCAAGACCTGCACATACTGTCATGAACTAAACTGAGGGGCACCAAAGACAAATGAGCTGGGTAAAACGTCTAGGTAACTCTTACACCAATCTTTCTTCAGCTATTCGCATTCAGACACAGGTATACAATTATGAAGTGCACATTTTATAACCAAACCCCGGGGTGTGCGATAGACTTACCTTCACGTGGTGCACCCTGGGCAACGTATACTCATTATTAATTGGCAGTTGACTTCTGGCTTTTAACTACCATCACCCCACTTTATGTCATATTCGACCACTTCCCAGTACTCACCTCACCTTTTTTCTACCTTTGTGTCTGTCTCTTTTACATCTTTGAAGCACTCTTCTGTTCCCCTCCCCCCAATCTCAACCTTTTTTCACCTTGATATTTCTTCTCCTCTGTGAGGCCTGAAATCACCTAAAGGGCTAATGAAACTACCAAAATGCCTGCCATTTGATATAAATAAATAACCAAGCCCCTGTCACTAACAGTATCGCGGAGTCACTCACACGAGACCAACAATTTGTTATCCTCTAGCTGATTAAAACTAATCAATATTTTGTTGGTCAATCACGTCATTGGGTATGAATCGACAGTAGCGATCTAGTGACCTCTGGTGTGCCTGTGGATCATTGTCCACAGTCAATTGTGCACGATGCACGAAAATGAATTATATGTATCTCTACCATTTCGCTCTATGCGTTTTGTATTCTCGCTACTGTTAACGTAGAGAGCTCTTTTATATAAGAATGTTTTGTCAATTAGATTGGTCTGCATCCAAGAGAACCGTGTAACTAACATACATACAGACTTTTCATTACCTTGAATATGGTTTCCTTGAATGCTTCCATCAAAAGATTGTGATCGATGTTGTTGAAACAATCAGCAATGTCAATACGCCCGAGAAAAAATCTACAAATTGAGCATGAAATAAGGAGGTCTAGCCACAACTTAGCAGAGAAAAGGGTAGAAATTTGAATGGCAAAATAAGGAGTTAGTTAATATATTATTTAATGGAATGCAACATACGTTTGGTTGGTTGGGAAAAGACATCGAAAATTGTTGAGAGCTTTAAATGATAAGCTGACATTCGGCAATGAGGGTCGAAAGGTGAAGGGAACCTAAAAGAGAAGGCTTGCTTAAAACGGGGGAAACAAGTATACTTGGGATTAGAATGTCGCCAGTATGGAAAATTTTAAAACAGACTGAGGAAGGAGGCATGCTACATCCTTTTTAGCCCAAAGTCGACCAGTGCACTTAAAACCCACCAGCCCACAAGGAACACATGACATTTTCACAATTAAGTTAAGGCTCTACTATTCACTATTAATAGCCAACCTAATTGCTTACCTGATCATGCAAAATGCGAATAAATTCCACTAAACCACCGGCCTGTTTGAAGCGAGTGTTAAAGGTTGTGGGAATTGATATCAACCTCAACTTGCCACTAGGCTTTAGAACAAGACAACTTCGACAGACTGGTAGGCTATGTTCTTTAATTAACTTCGCTGGACATTCCTTCAAAATACCCTGAGAAATGAAGTCTAAAAAAGGAAAAGCCCTTATATATATATATAGAATATTAATTAAAGGGCATCCCCATGTTTATATAAACTGACCATCTTTCTGCACCGTTTGAATGGCTTTCCATTTTTCAAAACTATAATACCTTATTGCTCCCCTTCGCTTGTGACAGTAAACGCATCGAAATACAGATTGCAGGAGAGCTGGGACCAGATGGGTAAATAGAAGTACCACGAGTAGGTAGTAATAAACACGCAGACATCCTGAACTCTGCAGCCCTTGAGGCGCCTAAAAAAGTGTCCTACAACGAGTACAATTATAAAACTTACTTTAAAACGGCGACACAAGGAACTAATCGATATGCGTCCATCGATTGGCATACTAATAAAGTACCTCAAATGTGTTGGAACGAAACTGTTATGGAAACATAATGAAAATTTTGTGATGAATTATCGACTTTGAATAAAAAAGGATATATAATTTGAAGGCATTAGCATTGCTCTTTTCGAGAAAGCAATTTGAAGGTAGACATCGTCTAATATGACAGAGAAGAAATGCATGAACACTAATATGGTCAACAGACCCTTGACCATTATAAAATGTAGCCTTGCGATCAATATAACGCCTCCATTTTGATGATAATGTGATGATTCGATCAAGCAATTCACCAATCACAGGTTCATCAGTCAATTCGGACAATTTGAAACGTGTTGGTTGCAAGATTTTTCGGAAAACTGCCTTCACATCCGATTTGGCCAGGGGTCTATTTCGTCTATTGAGAAGATTATCCTTGTCGTAACAATAACGCAGAGTTCCGGGAATAGACTTCAACATGATTAGAAATGCCAAAAATTGAACTGAATCATATACCGCCGTTTCGATAAATGCATCACCACTTTTTCTACGGCTATTGGTCATTTCCTCCTTAATGTTATTGGTTTATGATCAAGCCAATTGGAATGCGAGATGAGTGTGCGGGAGGGGGGGGGGGGGGGGGGGGGGAGCGCGGTGTCCCGTCACGAGTCCTGAGGACAAAATTTAGACTTATTTGAACGACAGGTGGGGTTAATCGCCTTGCACACTTTAATTAAGATGGGCAATAATTGGACCGATGATTACATTTCTGGCATAACTTATTAAACCATAGATAGATCATTAAAATCACAATTCTTTCACACAAAATCATCTTTGTACAAAACGTTGGGAAATGCTTAAGCAAGCTGGCCGAATGAGACCAAATTATTAAATTAGGGTTAAATTCACACACTACGAATGGATTTCTTTCCTTTTTCATAAGCACATTGCTTGTGTCAAAGGAAATGGAATGTCGCAAAGGAGAATAAAGAATGTCAAGCAACAAGCTTCGTTAAAAAGCTCCTGGCATCAATTTATTCTACTCCATCCTCCCCGCCCTCCCCCCTTCAACGGGTAAAAAACTCATTTATCAAGTGCTTTCGATAATTCATTTCCACTCGACTCTGTGTCGAGGTGTTAATAGTGCAGACGTGCTAGATGTGCCACATCGTGACAGACACTTAACTTTCCTAGTCTACCAGCAGTAGACGCCATTAACTTTCGTCTTGGTTAAGAAACGGTCCATAACCTCAATTTATCCTATACAATCCAATGCACTTTATCCAACGCTTGTCAAGAGGTGAATTGAGTTGGGGGGGGGGGGTTGTCTGTAAAAAATTGTACTATATCTCAGAGCATCGCAAATATTACGCCCCCAATCGCCACCAGTATAATGGTTTAGTCACCCACATCACTTGGAAAGCTTAAATTAGCTAGAACACGTGGACACAAAGATAAGACTTTAATTCAAATCAACGACTCGTTCAAGGGTAGGGGTACAAGTAAATCAAAAAAATGCTCTTACGAACCAACATATTGTTAAATTGAATGTATACAGAATTATGATTCTTACCATAACTGTTTTGGAAAAACATTATTAGCCGTTAATTGACACTGAATATTTTGTGACTGTGGATATATGATGATCACTTTTTTTTGGGGGGGGGGGGGGGGGGGGGGGGGGGGGACANNGGGTGGGGAGGGGGGGGGGTACACTCTGTGAAATTAAGAATGGCACTTTATTTCAATACCATGATTCGGTCCAAGGAGAGCTAACCAATTTTTGTAAATATAGGAAAAGAGAAGCCTACGCGATATCCTAGTGCAAATATTTGAATTTCTGAAAGGGAGGCTTAGAAAACAGGAATAAAAACTGCTGAATATTCCAAAGATCTTTATAAGTGCAAAATAACCGGTGACATTCCAAAAAGCCTTTAAACTTTCAAGAAAGGTTGAAGTGAAATAAAATTGAGTTATTAGTTATTTCATCGTATAACTCCCCTTAAGAGAAATAGTTAAAGTTTACCAGGATAAATATCATTGATTTATAAAATTTGAATGTTAATTTATTAAGCATTACAAAAATTTGATTATTAGGCATCTTTAGTGCATTTACATATTTAACTAAGCAATTAAAATTGATTTCTCATTATTATAAAATCTAGTTTTTTTCACTATTTAAAAATATTAAGATTGTTTATAAAGATAAATAATCTAATAACAACTTATCTTCATTTCAAATATTTAAAACAATTTGTTGTTTTAATAGGCTATTGAAAAAGGTTGTTTAGGCCTCCATTACGTTTGTTGCTTTTACTGTCTGCGTCGGTTCGCTCTTGCTATGCCAAGGCCTTCTAATAACTATCGAAGAAATCGTAATCACCCCATTGCCAAGGCGGAAGGGTATGCAGAGGCTTCTTATCGATTCCCACCAAAGGCTTCTACTATTCCGCCACCTCCTCCTGAATGGATCTTCACCAATGAAGTCAGGAAATCCGCAATGGATGATTCAGCTGTGATTTGGTCTTTAAGGGAGTACATCAAATAACTGTGTTAATTTCTTTTGTATTGTAAAATATTTGCGTATATTTTTAATGTTTATAATTTTTTTATCTGTATATATTGTACATAAATGTATATATTGGCCCCATTGGCCTCCCACAGATTGTCTTTTGTTTGATGTTCTGATGATCATATCTTACCGGTACCAATGTGTTGTGCACATTTACGTTTATTTAGTTTCTGTAAAATTTGCTTAAGCTTTTCATTTGATTTGTAACGGCGTTTTAGATTTCCCTGATTATCAGCCTTGGCGTGTTGCCCTTTTTTCACGAAGCTGACTAGGCAACCTGACTGATTTATCTTACTTTCTTGAAATGCTTAAATTTAGTTTTGGCCATGACACTTGACTGACATCGGTTCTGTTTGCTTGAAGCTAGCTCACTAAACCGATTTAATTTGTCCCTGCCTTTTTTCCTAAGTTATTGAAGCTTCTCACTTTCTATTGTTCACGTTACAACCAAATTTTTGCACCGTTACTTTATCCCTTCTTATGCTAAATTAAGTTGTTTAACCCTAATTTTTAAGGTTGGGTTTTGTCAGTACTTTTTGGGAAAATATTTTCTCCATGACTGGAATGAAATCATTTGCGTTCTTTATGGGCATAATTTTGATAATTGTCTTATGATTTCCCCTCTTGTATTTCGTGAAGGTTAGGTTTTGGGTTGCTAGTGGTGGGCGAGCCTGACCAAATTATTAACTTGGCAATTTGGCCGGTCATCTATCTGAATACGTTTAGCAATCAATATGTGGGGTTTGCGGCTTAGCAGATTAATAAGGAATTTGTCACTTATTAGTTAGGCTTAACCACTGTTGATGACCATGCGGTTCAACTTAACCGGCGGCTGTAGGTGGTAGCGTTAATATCTGAGCCGCCAGAATATATTCTCCTTTGTATGGGATTTTTTTCTTTAGTCTTTATCATGTATGATTTTATTTTCGTCTAATTCTCATTAATTTAAACAGTCGTTATGATGTACCTGTGACAGGCATGTAGGTTTTTTTTAAAAATCGCGAATATCTGTTTTGGAACATTCCATATTTTCTAACCTTGACGTTATCAATGTCAGAATTGTTTGAGAATATATATTGCAATGGGAAGTCGCATGAGTGTAAATGAGTTCAAAGCAGCATGTTCATATATTTCAAGAAAATTTCATTGTGGCGAAATCTATTCTTACATTATGAACTATTTGCAAGCGGTGCGCTTTACTTATATACAATTATAACAAGCTAGCTCTCTAACTTTGTATCTTTGAGAGTGTAAGCGGATAAGTTAAGATTTGTTTGAAAAGACATTAGATCAGAGCGGTTTCGTTAACGTGCTGTTATGTATTGATTTTTCAACTGGGGTTGCAGTTAGAGAGGTAAACAGGGTGGAGTAATGTCGCAGGACGCTAAGCCTCTCCAAATGACCTAAAAGGCAAAACATATTATTAATAGCACGAGATTAGACGAACCCAGGCACTTTGATTCATAGCCTTGCGCGGAGTCGTAGGCATGTGCGCACTGCGAACTAGAAAGGTGGTGATTAGAAATGAGGCAACGCTCTGTCCACTGAGTTTCATTGCTGTAAAGTGTAGGGGGAGCTCTGAGCATTTGTCCTGAAGATCCAGAACCAACCCCTCTGCACTAGGTGGCATTTCGGTATGCGTCGTTACCCACTTTATATTGGAGTGAATAAATGGAATAAACTGAGTGACATTAATGAAGCCAATCATATTTGGCTCTCAGTGTTTCAAAGGGAGCATATCTTGCTGTCAGTAAAATAGACTATGTTCACGGCAAGTATTTGGAACAATATTACGGCTGGTTACACTCTTTGTAACCTTGTTGTCCCGGAATCAAAACCAGTCATTTCGTTATCTTTCAGGCCAACTACACTTTGTAATGATAGTGAAGTAAGGTTTGGGTATTAAATCCCTCAAATTCTCAAATATGAATCCCGGATAAATAGGAAGCGTAAAAGGGTAAATTATGTGTTCATCCTCACTCGTGGATCGAGTACAATAAGCCCAAATACGATCTGCCAACTGGAGAGTTCATCCGTTCCGTAGACATGCACTATGAAAGTCATGCAAAAAGGAATATCTGTGCAGTCATTAAAATTTGTTAATTGAAGAAAGCGTCAAAATAAGAAATGGAATTGGATTAATTATCCAGAAGCTCAAGTGAATTTAAGTCCACCCATATTTTCGACTTTCACTTCTTCGTGTTTGCATGTCCCCCCTCCCCTTCCCCCCCCCCCCCCTCAAGGAACATTAATTGTATATCGTTTCCCTGCTTGATCATAACGCATAAAATATACGCATTTCCACTTATACTTAGGTGTGTTTATAAAAGTACTCAGATAGTCCAACATTCCGATCTGCCGTAAAACTTCTCTGAACCAAGTGAAGTTATTTTCGTCAATCCAACTGTTGTGAAAATTGAATTGAGATGGCAAGACCGACCATCAGCATTAAAAATGAGTCAATAAGTGGTGAGCATCGTGGACAAGGAATATCCGTAATCCAGGGAACGGATCATGCAATGTGATCGTTCCGATGTGAGGCAAATTTTTCTGCAAATTTTATTGAAGCCGATTCCAAAAATGGAATAAATGAAGGCTCTCTGATATTTTGACGTTGCTCTCGGTGTCTTCATAAAGCCCTTCCTTACAGCATTTGTTGGACCTTCTGCTAACCGATGTCAATTGCTTCCACAAATTAACAATTATTTATTTATACTACTGTGGGTATTAAGAGGATCAAGAAAAAGTGAAATTTGAACCGAAACGTTGGGGATTTAGGTCTCTGCTACGGCATTTATCAACTCACCCAGTAATACGACCTTGACTCCACTGACTCTCACGTGACAGACTAGGAGTGAATTGCATTGGCATTACCATTGAAACATATTTATGTCGAGCGAATTTTTAAGATCACGTAAAGAATGTCCTCTTAATCGGGGTGTGTGATAGACTTACCTTCATGTGGTGCACCCTGGGCAACGTATACTCATACGGCGAAAAAGTCTTTAAATCGGTAGTTGACTTCTCACTTCAAACTACCGTCACCCCACTGTATGTCATTTTCGACTACTTCCACAGTATTCACCTCACCTTTTTTCTACCTTTTCTACCTTCGTCTTTGATACACTCTTCTGTTCCCCCCCCCCCCTCTTGAATTTTTTACACTTTGATGTTCCTTCCCCTCTGTGAAGACTGAAGTCAACTAAAGGGCTAATGATAACAATCAAAACGCCTGCCATTTGATATAATAATAATGTCCTCTTAATCGGAAATTTCTAGAGGACTAAGAGAAATGATTCAATACATTAAAAAGCTAGCTAAGAAATTGCTTCAAGGAAATGAGGATGGAGGCTCTATTGGTGAGCTAAATAATTTGAATCATGCTCTAAGCAGAGAATTGAACAGACAGTAATAAATTAGAATATATGTAAAAATAGTATAAGGATGTATTTGTGCAAACTATTACGCAACAGAGCGTACAAACGAGACAGTGTTTGCTTAAACAGATATTTACTATCGAATAAACAAATAAAAGCAATTTTAATGCCGTTGAATGATAAAGTATTTAGTTAGGCAAACAAATTTGGAAAATCGATAGAGAATTAACAATCTAATTTGCTTTATAATTGAAACCAACTTTATTCAATTTTGTTATATATAAATTGATCAGTGGCTAATCCGCGTTTAGTCAGGCAGGAGTTAAAATTTAAGATCGTATTACATTGATTTAGGCGATTCAATTTAAGCTAAACCATGGGATGTAAAAGTAGAACCTATCTGATTAAGACGACTTTGGATACGGCCGTACTGGGATAGAATCACCCTCTTTGTGAGGAACAGACGATTTCGATTCATTTCGAGTTCTTTATTTATTGTATGTTGCGGCAAGACTAGGACTCTGGGTAGGTTTATACGTCAGGACGTGTTAACTTTGCACCATTCTTTGGATGGAATATTTAAAGAATTAGATTCATATAATACGTGAATACCCCGCGTTTTTGAAGAATTTGTGTGAAAATGATGCTATATCTAGTCATGCGTTTAAGGCGATCGTAATGGATCTTTTAATTTACCATGAAATTTACTTCGCCATGAAAACAGCTAAGTGTAAAGCGAAGACAAATATACAAGCCACGTACTCAATTCGTTTATTTCTATTATATTTCGTTCTAAAATCTCAGGGAATAAAGAAATAAAGATCCGATCATTCATTTAGGTCGTTGGCGCAGGGGGGGGGGGTGGAGTAACAGAAAATAAAACAACCTGTTAAAAAACAGCAACTCGCAGTAGACAGCCACAGTCTCAAGTTTAAGCCTATTATGAAACAGTGGATAAAATATGAGAGGGTGTAGTGGAGAACTGTGAGAGCGGAGTGCGTGTGGATTTACAAGAGAAAGGGTAGAGGTAGCATAAACAGAGGCAATGATTGCGCTCACTTAAGGATCATTTAAACGGTTTATTCCGATAATTAAAATAAAGCACTTTAGCACATGTAAAGAGTCTCACAAGGTAACTGGAGGGGGGGGGGGTCAAAACAGGATATAGCACATTAAGGACCACTGTGGGCTTGGTGGCAGTTTTGGACTCGCAGAGAACGTACACACTTCAAGTTCCAATTAATATGGAGGTACGTAAGTCCTAAATGGTTAGTGATGACATATGTGACATAGCCAACATCACGTGCAAACTCTCGTACGGACCAGGTGCGGCGAACTCACCGACATTAACCAATCAGAGACGCCCATTTGCTTTACCGGATCCGCCTTGTTGATAATGACTAAGTTCCTTCCTGTCCACTCGACAGACGGGCTACATCCCAAATAAACGTATTCCTCCTCGCTCGCCTCTTTCCTCCATAGCTTTGCAATAGCTTAGCTAGTTTTGGAAGTCCATCGATAGTAGAGATTACTGAGTAAAGTCTAGGTTTATTGGTGTAGCAGTCCGCTACACATATATAGAATATGGAAACGCATAGAGATACTTCTTTCTTAATTAATCTATCAAAGTACTTTGGACACGAGCACATTTAGGTATCTATGAGTAAAATAATTAAAAGAAAACAAATTTTGAATAGATCCGGGTGAATTGCCCCAATTATTAGAAAATTGGAAGTTGAATATTTTCAGAATTCAAAAATGTAGGTCTATTGACGTAATACTCTCAGGCTTCTTCTGAAACGCTCTCCCCACCGAAAGTACGCTAGTTGAGTTGTTGTCTTTATACCTGATTAATTTCATTTGTCAAAATCTGCAATCGACGTACCCCAGTAACGAAAAAGTGATTAGCAAAGTGCGACTTATAGCGCCTACTGTATTTTAAATGGAAGTTTGCAATATTTTACTACTTTTTTAGAATGTATAGCGCTATCGCCAGTAATTAACACCATGTCCCTATTTCCACAAATTTTACTAAATGACAGGCTGTTTGAATGGCATGTTGTACCGAAACTGACCGCTGCCTCAGTCCACAAGCCACTATTGCTGCTGATGTTAATGGGACTTCATTTAAGAAATATGAGAGAACGGAAGGTTTGGAAACCTTTATAATGCTTATTCATCGAAATGGGTAATTAGTTGCTGCGTAATATCCAGCTCATGTGCATCAAATTCAGCGTTCAAATGCACTTTAGAAGTTGTAAATTGTCTTTACTGGTGCTATTGATCTCATATTTTCTACGAAACAATTAATTCACTGATGTACAATTTCGATTGGAGAATTGAATTAATGAATGGTAATTGTATTTGTATTTGTATCGAATCGCAGGCTTTATGATAGTTGGCATAGACCGGCCGATGTCTTTCCACACAATGAAGGCCTTAATCAGGAGAGAATTAAGGACCTCAAGGTGCAACGAACTCATAGCTCGAACAAAGGAGAAACAGTGGACAGTGGCACTCTCCGACATAGCTAACTGGCCAAGAATCGAGGCGGTTGCTGAGTTTAGACTACGTACCGGGCACGATTGCCTGGTCAAGCACCTTTACGGAATAGGAGTATACACTCAGCTAACATGTCCCCTATGTGACTTACAGGAGGAAACGGGGAAGACCCACCTGATTCGATGACCAGCCCTAAAGATAACGACGGAAACCCAGAGGACAACTAATAAACTACTGTTAACTGCCCTAAAGCTTAAATATATGTTTCACCCCCCCTCCCCTTGAGAAAGCCGAAGTCAACTAAGGGGCTAATGATAAATATCATAATGTATGTCATTTGAAATAATAATAAAAGTTGTCATTAACCCTTTAGCTGACTTCGAACTTCACAGAGGGGAGGAACATCAATGTCACAAATAATCGAGAGGGGAACAGAAGAGTGCTTCACAGATGAAAAAGAGGCAGACAGGTACAAAGGCAGAGAAAAGGTAAGACG